CTCCTACTGGACATTTGGAAAAATGCATTGCAGACTCAGACGCTACATATACAGATGGCAACACATCAAGCATTCCCATCAAGAACTCAATAAATAACAGTTGTAATGAAATCTAAAAGACTTAATCTAACTTAATCTTTTGTTGAATGTTAAAATGCAGAAATAGAGTAAGTTCCCAGCTAGTGTAAAATAGCATGATAAGTTTGTTTTCCTCCTCTCCAGTTTTCACCAGTCCCCACTAATGTTAACATCAGGGAAGTGCAAAAATCTGTGAAATTGTCATTTAGGTCTCTAGGGTTTGTTCTCTAGGGTCTAATTATAATATTTCATGGCAGTCTATCTAGTAGTACCCTGAGACCAGGCAGCTAAGACCATAGGCCTTACATATAGTTATAAAAAAAAGAGCTATATGCAAGCTAATTGTCACCTTCCAGAAAATGCATTATTTCACACATCAGTAGGCCCTATAGCAGGAGCTGAGAGGCAACGAGGGCAACCCATACCTCCATTACTATCCATTATATCCATTATACATTAACAGTATATTCTACAAAGTAGCCCACCTTGCTGAGAGCTGAAGCAAAAAAGATCTTTTGTAAATTTATCTTAGGCAAGATGTTTTTAATTGTTAATATAATGATGCACATTCAATCAGATGAGCCCTTTATGCATAAGTAAAGTTGGTAAACAGCAAGCTAATCAGTGATGTGCATCTTGTTCTCCTGTGGGATGCCAAGTAATTATGAATGAGCAGGAGCGGGCAAAGCGAGTTCACTAATGTGCCTTTAGTGCTGAAGAAGACTGGAGGAGCAGAAAGATATAATTCTGCTATACAATAATCCCAGAAAAGGAGGAAAGAGTGAAGAGGCAAAGATGGTGCTGCGGGGAATAGATGGAACAAAATAAATGGCAGCAGAGAGAAGAGTAGGAGAGGAAAATACAGAAACATAAAAAACATATTCCCCTGTGACAAGCTAGCTACTTCAAACGGCATCTTTGGATGAGCCAGTTGAGTATTTGACAGCATGTAGTAGGCTTTCCTATCTTGTTTTTCATCTCTCGTGATCATGCATATGGTAAGAGATACCGGTATCAGAATGTCTGAGACCCTGGGGTAAAATTTCCAGATGTAGATGTAGATACTCGTACTCAAACAAGGTGTTAAAGCAAAACCCTGTTGTGGTAATGTGTGAACTGCAGTCTATCGAGACAGGTTCTGGAGGGACATGCTGTTTGCTGATCTGACCACCTTCACTGTTTGGTTGTACACCCTGTGGTACTCTGAAGTCTGCAAACACCTCTGCCAGGCATTGAGACATTCAGCTCTCTGAAGATCAAAAGCTCCGCATGACGGCTGTCTGAATCATTTTTTTAGTGTAAAATCGTTTTGTGGACTTTCAACACCTGCTCTCAGCCATTCCCAGTGTGTGGTGTGTGTGTCCATTGTTTTATTTTGCACAAGGCCAGTAGCATGCTGTGAAAGGCATAGGTACTTTACATGTGACTAGGACAAGCCAAGGGCTGATTGATCTGGGACCATTCTTTTCTGTGCTCCAGTCATTCCCACATCTATTATGGCCTTTAACCACAAATAACAGTACCTCTGGATGTTGTTGTCATGGCTGACTTTGATCTATAAGTTAAGGGCCAGTATGTGAGGTGTGTGCATATGTCCCTCTTTGAGCATCCTCTAACCCCCGCGAACCGGTTCTGTCCTTGTTCCCACTGCTGCTGCCGACATTTCTCTCTCTCTGCTTTTAAAACTTTGTAACAAATCAACAAATGGCATGTAGATAGTGTGGAGAGTGAAACAGCAACTGTCAATTAACTAATAATGACACTACGACATGGCTTAAGTAGTGTGGAGCATGTGTAGGTGCTGCCGACTCACTCACATTCAATTGTCTCTCATTTCCAAGTGGCAGCAACACAGGCATACAAAACGGCTGTCATCCTCTATTAGAACAGAAATCGGTCACAGTAGATTCACCCAATAATGCGCAAACACACATATAATACACAAACTCAACTGTAACACACTCGCACAGTATGCAAACCTCTATATACACGTGTGCATCGACCCTGTAAGCAAAGATGATGACATTATCTGCCGTTATCTGTGATTTTAAAATAAAAATACAGATTTTTAGGCATCAATATTTCAGCAGCTCTGTGAATTGCCTCCAAGACATATGCTGCATTATTAAGAGTGAGCTGCTTGCAGTTTGAAGTATGTCATGGGTGATTCTCATTGACAGGAGGGATTCTTTCAGCAGATAAAGAGATGAGAGAAACCACAGATATATCTCTGGTCTTTCTGGGTGTGCGGGAAAAACAAGGTTCTGGTTCTGGTGATTCAACAAATACAATGCTACGTATCGATTCCTGGAAACACATCCTGCTCGTAAACTTGCATTTCTCCTTGTTCAAACAAATCAGACACTGGCACCACTGCGAGACAGTAATCAATTGAAAAATAACAGCCCCTTTTTTTCAGTGTAATGATTGAAACTGACAGAGCAATAAAAGTCTTTGAAAAGCAGTCAAAGGTTAAAGCAGTGTTGTCGATATGCAGAGAGACAGACGGCTCCTCTTATTCACAGCAATCACTCTGTGTCCAATTATCTGCTGAATTTGTAGCGTTGCTGTTCACACTAGTAAGCCTGAACACACCATAGATTACAGCGCAGAGTTTTTAATCTGGAGGCTTGTAAAATATTTGTTCGTGTTTACAAATGAATAAATATACCCCTGACTATTTAATCAAAAAGGTTTTTGTCCAAACTCGCCATCTTGTGTACAAATGGGAGAGGGGGGAAAAAAATCAGTGGAAGCCAGTCACGCAGCTTGGATCATGTACTCTAGATTTTCTCTGTGAAGGAGCCATTAATCTCCTTCCACGTGAGTTAAAAGAGCTGTGGAAAATATACCCAGTGACAAGCAGAAGTCTAACACTGAAAACCTGAGTGAGGATTAATAAAAACAGACTTAATATCAATAGTAGAAGAGATCGAGCAGGCTGCTGCAGTGAAATGTAAGATTTAATTGTCGACATATAACACAAGGTTTTATGACAAATTCAAATTTTGTAAATGTATTGCACTAACAAAGAATAATAACTAAATTGCCCGAGGAAACAAACTGCTCCGGAGTCTGGTGGTACAGCATTGGATCCCTCCTCGTTTTGCCAGATGGCAGCAGGGTAAACAGGCTGTGGTGGGTAATTTTTTTTTAGTATCCTTTGAGCTGTATGCAGATACCTCACTGTTAACAGTGAGGCTCAACAGATGGATGCTGGTGAAAATCAAAGCATTTTGTGATGCTTCTAGTTAAGTTGCTCTCCACTGCTCCTGAGTAAAAGTTAACAAGAACTTGACATGAAAATTCAGTTTTCTTAAGAAGTACAGTCACTCCTCAGCGTCCTTATCCAGGCAGGTGTGTGCCGGCAGTGACAGGTTCTCTGTGATACTCATTCCCGAGAACTGAAATATGTTCACCTGCTGTTCATCAGCTCCGCTAATGTAAAATGGGGTTTGAATTCAAGATTATTGCTGCAAGATTAATGTTTAAGGAGCACCTTACAGTTCTGTCTCATTGAGGCAGCTCCAATTTTATGTCTAAAATATTTACAGTGTGTTAAACTATTAACATTTGTTTCTCTTTCATACTGCTGCAGGCATTACTTTTAAACATGCATCTTTACACTAAATTATTGTATTAAGACTGGATTTGCAGTAGCCTGTAACATGGACATCCTTCTATTTTCACAAACAGAGAAGTGCCTGCTGGATAAAATTCAGTGTACTCCACATTTTTGACTTGCTTGAAGTGTTTCAACCATTTAAACAGGATCACAACCTACAACACCTTTCTAGTACCGAGTTGGATGCTGATGAGATCTGGTGGCCGTGAAGACCATTTGAGTACAGTGAGCTGAGTCAGCTCAAGAAAGCTGTTTGAGATGATTTGAGCTTTGTGATGTGTTATCTTGCTGGAAGTAGCCGTCAGAAGATGTGTACACTGTGGTCTTAAGGCATGCATAAACGCTGTGGTATTTAAACAATGCTCAATTGGAATTAAGGGGTCCAAATGAGCCAGAAAAATCCCCCCCGACCACCATTTCAGCTCTACGACATACCTGTATTCTTGATGCAACGAAGGATGGATTCTCCAAATCTCCAAAAGTTGATTCTGTTCATCTGCATGTAGCGTTGGGGAAACCTGCAGTCACCTGAGACTGAAGAAGTCACTTGGATGAGTGATGGAGCATTTCTCCCACTGAAAACGCTACGTCCAGATGAACAGAATCCACTTTTGGAGATTTACTTACCTGGATGATTAAGCATGCATCAAGACGAAGGATGGATCATGCTTTCATGTCATTTATGCTAAATTCTGTCCCTGCCATTCAAATGTTGCTGCAGAAATCCAAACTCATCAGACCAGGTTTGAATTCTACCATCAGTTTCCTGTTCTGACAGGTGCACCACCCAGTACGGCTTTCTATTGTTATAGTTTGTCTACTTTGAGGCCGGACGTGTTGTGCATTGAAAAAAAGATGTTCCGGCAACACACCACAACTACTTTGGTCGTAGTGTGCTGTTAAATGTAGACTTCTAATCTGAATGAGTCTAGCCATTCATTCTCCTCCAACCTCTGACACAAACACACCCAGATAACTGCTGCTCACTGGATATTTTTGGACCCTGAAAACCCTAGAGTTGGTTGTGTGGGAAAATTCCAGTAGATCGGCAGTTTCTGGGAAAAAAAAAAAAGAAAAAAAATCAGACCAGCCACTCTAACACCAGCCACCACACCGTGTTCAAAGTCACTTAAATCACTCTTCTTCACCGATTCTAGTTCTTTATGCCTAAATGCTTGAGTTAATACAATGTAATTGGCTAACTAGGCATTTGTGTTGTTAAGCAGTGTACCCAATGATATAAGTACATAATGTATAATACACATTTATGGTCAAACTGCAAAGAACACACACTTCCTTTCACTTTTAACTTTTTTAATCTGCAAAATCAAATTTCATGGTTTGATTGAATGGTGTACAATACTTCTACTCAGTATAACAGTAAATAGCTTGTGATTTCAACAACAATGAACGAGTCAAAATTGGATTTTGTGATGTATGAACCATGATATCTGGGCCATTTTATTTCTGTGATTCATAGGGAGAACACAGTGTAAATCAAAACAATACTCAGGAATGTTTACAGAGTTTCTCAGAGTAGCATTGGCTCCAGCCCTGAAATAGATGTTCCTATGCTGAGGTGAGACTCGTTTTGAGTTAACTATTCAGGAGACTGTGGCAAAAAGGATGAAGTTCAAGTTTTAGGAGGCACGACGCAAGTTCACTCCATCAAAGTGATTTGGATTTGGCTGTCAACACACACCCTCCACTGAAGCCCCCTGTTCAGACTTGGACCCTCAACCTCTAACCCAGAAATGTCCATATTGATTCCTTTCTGCTGGCTGCTGTGGTGGTGTTGCTGGGACAGGTAGGTAGAGTGTCGCTGTGAGGACCATAAATAGAACATCTCAGCGGTCCAGCGAGCGTTTCTGGATTGCTTCGGCCACCACGGTGCGCAGGAGGGCGATGACAGAACGAGGGTCATCACTGCCAATCACAGCACTGCCTGACACAATCATGTTAGCCCCTGCCTAGAGCAAATGGGAGCAAACAAAATGTAAGAAAACCTAAAAGCATATACATTTTGATTTTAGACGGTTATTTGATTAGCCTGTCGTGTATGCGTCGTTTACCTCTGCACACTTGTGAATAGAGTCAGGACCGACCCCTCCGTCTACTTCAATATCTAATGATGGGAACTGACTCCGCAGCCAGCTTACCTGGGTCACACATACACAGAAAAGAACTCAAAATGTGCCAAATACAATTTTCACAGATTAGTAGGAGAGCAAAGGCACACAATAATGCCGGTTTACTCACATGCACCCCCCTTCAACAAGACTGCAGGCCAAACAAAACCACTATATTGTGGTAAATATCTGCTTCAATAATAATAATCTTTTCAGAACTGTCAACAACCAACAGTCTGCACAAATCATACAGAGTGTGCCTTGGATCAGTGTTTTGCTTTTTACACCAAATTTTCACCCACACAAGAGGTCCTCCTCAAAATGGAACACACAGATTCATCTGAAAAGCATCTGTACGTGATCACTACAAAGGCCCGGCAGCACTCATACACCACATACTTCACATATACCTGAACCCATTGCACTGCTTTTTTCTAAGTGTGCAATGCAATATTTTGTATCAGCCTGCTGTGGGCTATGCTTGTGGAAAACCAGCATTGCCCACAGCAGGCTGGCTACAAAGAATAGTCATGGTAAAATACACTAGCAGTTCTAAGTGTTTACATACCAGGACATTTAAAAAAAAAAAAAGATCTGATCCTTGCTTATAATTATTTTAATACAAGCTCAGGTGAGCAATATTACACTGCATATTATACTGTGTCATTATTCATTTAATAAAAAACAAAGCCAAAATTTAGAAGCAGCGTGTGACAATGATTCAGTAGTTTTTAGAAGCACCTCTAGCAGCAATAACTTGAAGTTGACTGCATGATTTTATCGTCTCTTACAGTGTTGAAGGACTTTTGGCCCATTTTTCTTTACAATGTTGCTTCAATTTCTTGAGGTTTGTGGGTAATTTATGTGCAGCTCTTTTAAAGAGCCCACTGCAGCATTTCAATCAGTATGAAGTCTGGACTTTGACTAGGCCATTGCAACACCTTGATTATTTTCTTTTTTCAGCCATTCTGTTGCAGATTTGCTATTGTGTTTCGGATTATTGTCCTGTTACATGACCCAGTTTGGGCCAAGCTGTAACTGTCAGATAGATGCCGTCACATTTGACTAGAATACTTTGATATACAGAGGAGTTCATAGTCGACTCAGTGGCTGCAAAACAAGTCCAAATTATCACCCCTCTGTCACAGTGCTGATAGTCAGTATGAGCTGTTTGTGCTGATATGCGTTTGGCTTTCACCAAATGTGGCTCTGTGCACTTTGGCCAGACATCTCCACATTTGTCTCATCTGTCAAAAGGACACTGGTCCAGAAGTCTTGTGGTTTGCTCAGATGCAACTTTGCAAAGATGAGCTGGGCTGTCATGTTCTCTCTAGAGAGAAGAGGCTTTCTCCTGGCAACCCGTTCAAACAACCCATTCTTGTTCAATCTTCTAATTTTACTGTCATGAACTTTCTCACAGAGGCCTGTAGAGTCTGAGATGTAGCTTTTGGGATTTTTGCAATTTCTTTGAGGATTGCACCTTGGGATAAATCTGCTGGGACATCAACTAATGGAAAATTGACAAGTGCCTTCAATGTTTGCCTTCTATGAGCAAACTTTCTCCCTGTAGAATAACAGACTTCAAATTGTTTGGAAATGACCTTATAACCCTTCCCAGATTGATGGATAGCAATAATCGTTTCTGTAAGATCATGCTGTTATCCTTCCTCCTAGAGAATTAACACACACCTGAATCCTCCAGACCAACAAATTAACAAAACGTCCACTTTTACTTTTTGATTGTTTTATCATTTCACACTTACTGATGGTCAGTTAATGAAGTGTGTTTAATTAGCCGCTCCTGGCTGCTACGTACCCTCTTAATTCATGTGGAAGCACTATGAGTGCATGCTTTCTTTTTACCATGATTATACAGTCTCCTGTGCAGTCTTTAATGCTATGACCATTTACTATGCATTTTTATTTGGATAATTTTAGGGGTAGTGTACAGAGAAACGCACATTGATTTTTTTAATGCATATTCCTTTAATTTCCTTTCTTAAACTTCTCAAATAAGACAAACAATGACCTCACACCTCATATGCTAATGAAGAGTATAGAAACTGCACTGTGCTAAATTGTAAATTCAGTAAGTATGATAAATCCAATTTGTTCTGTTGTGGTTATGTGTAATACTCTTTTTTTTTTTCAGAAAGGTCATTCTTCCATCTTTGCTTAGTCCTTACCTTGGGCATCATGTCTTCCATAAACTTTTGTCCCCCAAAACCAGGTTCAACAGTCATTACCAGAGCCATGTCGATCTGGTTAGCCCAGGGAGCCAGCTCTTCAACAGTAGTACCAGGCTTAATAGCCAAACCCACCTGTAATACAAGTGAGCGAGGGTCACTTTAACACTCGCATGTTTATAACAAATGCCGGGGTTTTATAATTCCCTATCACTACAATTATACAATTACACTATAATTATGCAGATGTCTTTATCGTCAAGGCAGTGAATAAGTAAAGCAAGTCTGTCTCTTCTTTTGGGGTCTTTTCCTCACCTTCATGCCACTCTCTCTAATCTCTTTAATGAGGTTTCCAGGGTTGGTGGTGGCCTCTAAGTGGAAGGTGTACTGATTGGCTCCTGCTGCGGCCATAGGCTTGACCCATTGCTCAGGCCGAGACACCATCATGTGCATATCTGCAACATTCACACTGTCCCAATACTGTGCGGCACAACAATACAATAACAGTGATTGTTTTATCATTAAGTCTCACCAAAGAACGGGTCTTGGCCTACTGACTTCCTCAAACACTCCACCATGGGATGGCCAAACGTGATGTTGGGTACAAAGTGCCTTAAAGAGGAAACAAAGAGAAACTTTTAGATTGCAACTGTTGTGCTCTTCATCTTGCATAAAAAGCTTACACTGACGTCTTGCGTAAGTGTGGAGAAAGCTAAAAATGTCAAAACTACCACGGAGAAGTATAAGGCAATAACACTTTAAAGACAGTCTTGTAATAGTTTAGCACCCAAAAGGTTTTAGCCTTCCATTTAAACCAGTTACAAAAATATCGCCTGCCCGGCTTAACTTTTGACAAGCTAGGTTAGCTTGTTGATGTTAGCCAACTTTGGCTCTCAAGTACTGAGCTTGAAATTGGCTTGCTAGCAGCTAGCACAACAGGTAAACTATATGCTAACCAACTGACCCATCCATGACGTCCAGATGCAGGTAATCCGCCCCACACTCCATCATCCTCACACACTCGCTGCCCAAACAGGACAGGTCGCTGCTAAGGATGGACGGACCGATCTTCGCACTGTAAGCCATGCTGCTAATGCTGTATTTCTCTGCGTGCAGCCTGACACCTAACAGGACAAGCTCGCCGTACCGTAAAGCTCAACTTCCGCTGATGACTTTCAAAATAAAATCCAAGAACGGAGAGCGAAACGTCGTGTCGTGGAGAAATATGTAGCTAGGCAGCATAGACAAGCTTCGAAGATATTTAGGACATCATGCAAGTCTGTGTTTTATGCTAAGAAGAAGTTAGATAAACGTGTGACTGTCTTTAAGACATATGTCTTTTCATTTGTGATATTCTTCCCGTCGATATATATCTTCAAAGTATGTATTATTGCATTTTTATGCTTAAACAAGCTAAAGGCAACTATCCAATTTTAATAAAGTACTAAAATTATGAATGAATAAAGACGTATTTTTTAACATCTTAACTTTTTTCAAAAACTTTCCTGTTTTGCTCTAAGTGTCAGTGGGTAGTTTGATAACTTTCTCTCACGTTTTGTTGTCACACTTCCGCCTTCAGGTTAAGACAATGTGTGCATTTGGACACTAGATGGCGCAGAGCTCATAGCAACGAGCTCCTACATCTATTAGTGGTTTTTTATCTGAACAGCAGAAGGCTGATCGGGAAAAAGAAAGATCACAAAGCCTCTTAAAAAAAGAAGAAGAAAAAAATGGTTGAAAAACAAAACAAAACTATAATAGTTATTTCCCCCACAATGTAATAAGTAGGTGCAACAATTTCTAGCAAATCTTTTTTTCTTTTTTTTTTTTGGGGGGGGGGGGGGGGGGGGGGCGGGGGGGGTTTGGTATAGTTTTAGAACAAGGCAAATCCATTTCCTGAGACATCACAACAGATAATTATGCAAACACAAAATAGTAAATGGGCTGCACTTAGATAGCTCTGTTCTACTCGATTTGCACACTCAAATTGCTTTCTGACTGCAAGCCTCATTCACTCATTCCTCACACATATGCAATACAAACACTTTTTCTATGCCTAAGTGCTTTGCCTAACATTCACACAGACTCGCATAGATGCATTGGTAGCAACTCGAGGTTCAGTATCTCGCCTAAGGATACTTAAACACGCAGACTAGGGGAGCCAAGGATCAAACCAACGGCCTTCCAATTAGTAGACGGCCTACTCTACCTCCCGATCTGCAGCTGCCTCAGTCGCTTTGAGTAATTGGATGCTGCTGTAAAAAGTAATTGGATGCAGTAAATAGTGTAAAAAGGCCTGAAATTGTTAAGTTGTTTGTAACCTTTCTGAATTCTAATTGTTTAGCATGCTTTCTGCTCCTGTCTTTTTCTCTGCAATTGACCATTGCTTTATGGTTGAATCTCTCTTAGATTTAACAAGTTTATTCTTATGACCTCTCTCTGTCATAAATATATGTTAGCGTGACTCAATCGCTAGTTTGAAGGCATTAATATAAGTCTGTCTGTGAAGAAAAGTTTGATTGAGTATTACTGAAAAAGGCTGGCTTCCAAGTAAATGAAACAATCCCCCCCCCAAAAAATACAAAAAACAAAAAACAAAAAAAACCCAAATACATGTATGTCTCCTAAAAACCTGACACCTGCATAGAAAACTTAAGTCTCCAATAATGTGTTTACATGTTACATCACATTTGGTATGCCCCCATTCATGGTTAGTTGGCACAAGTTGGTATAGAAGCTTAAATGAGTTATAATTCATCTCAGTTAACTTTTAGCTCCCTATTGTGTGATTTGTTTGTCGCTTTCACCGTTCTGGATGCAGTCCCCTAAAATAGTTTGAATATTTTTCCAGATGACTGAATAAGCTGCTGTGATTTATAACGAGCAGAAAGCTGAGCTGAGCCTCTCTGCAGCACTCTGGAAGCCACAAGAGTTGTGCTGTTATACCCAGATAGGCTCAACAGAATTTGACATTTAGGAGTTCTGGCCAAGTTTTTGCATTACCACTGCAGTAATGGAAATACTAGAGGCATGGCTTATCCTGATTGACATGCGGTCATGATACACACAGATTCTAAGAAGGGCTCAGGCAGGATACGTTTGTGCCGCAGAGAAGCTGGGGGCCTCAAGAAACTGAAGAAGGCATCACAAAAATGAAGCTTTGAGGTTTGAAAACCATATAATGGGCTGGTGCAGTTGTTGAAAGAGGCGTTTTATTGGTCGGCTCATACAACAGTCCTTCACAGTTTTTCTCTGTGCAAAGTGTCTCACTCTCTCGAGCCATTCTGATGAGAGAGGTGATTCACTGCAGCTCGTTAAGTGATTTAGAAAAAATTTAAATTTAGGAGTGCTTGAAAAGTCTCTTTCTACTTGGGTCACACTCAAGGTCAAACCACTGCCGGCAAGCCCAGTTGATGAATTTGTGTTTTAGGTTGAAGAGGCAGTCATTCTTTTTCCTGCAGCTGACCAAAACACAAAATGAAAGAAAAGCATTCTTACTTTTAAACAGCTTTAACACCATGCACATACTTTCAGCCAACCATAAGCCTCTGTTTACTGGGGACACACACCTTTTTATGGTTAAGAGGAGGAGGGACTGCTGAGGAATGTGACTTGCAGTCATTTGTCGGATGTTTTCAAGCTGTACTTGTTCATTCTTGACATATTCTTAAAAACAAAACAAAAAAAATTGAAAAATCAGCTTTGTATCAGCCGCATAATGTCACATATTATCACATGCATATCAGTGATTATGCACTACATATAATGCAATTTCTCAATAAGTATTTTGAGAAATAATATTATTTTCCCAACACATACAATGTTCATGTTGTCATATTGTCAAGTTTTTAAGATACATTGTAGTCATCTACAAAGCATGAATGAAGCCATGAGCCATGTTTGTTTGCTTATAATACCACGCCATCTCATCTTACCTACTTAACACTAAAGTGAGAGGGTGGACCTCTCCACAGACTTCAAAGCACAATTTATTTCAGAGTCTATTTGGATGACTGAAAATCCTCAAATGCCCGTCTGTAGCCTCCTCTATATTTTCTACTTCTTCATGGTGAGTGATCTCAACGAGCTAGTGGATGAAAGTTCCCTTGTTATATGCGTTCCTGCATCTCACTTGCCTGTGAAGACTGTTAAAAAATGTCTTTTCAGCAGCACATCAGGACAATTAGGAGCTGATGTGGATAAAAGCTGAAGACTAATCAATTCCATTCCCTGGTCTAGTGAGTCAGTGTGTGTCCGTCATATTTATAGTTGCCATTTTAAGAAATTTCATGGTTGGACAGTTACAGGAATTAATGTTCTTTGTTTTTCCCAGTAAACTTGCCTCACATCGGCATTCAAGGTGTCAACACTTTTTCAGTAAGTTGGCATGCGGCTTCATTGGCAGCAGTAATAACGATACGTCCCTGCAGATTAGGACTCTGGTGTTGAGGTTGCTAATTAACTGGCACCCAGCAGTGTGTGTTCCCGAGCATGTCTGAACGTGTTTAAAGAGCTTAACAGTCTTCTGAGGTAAATCATGTACCAGAATTAATTATATACAGTAGCAAATCAGAGGCAACCTCAGCTAATGCCATCATACTGGTAACACAACATAATAGAGACAGCCTATCCTATAACAATTAATCATCTGCAGGAGGGATGGTGTGTTCATAAAAGAAAAAAAAGTCCCTCTGTTTGTGTTTTAAGTACTCTTCCAGATATCGTATGCACATGCACATTCAGCAGCACATATGCATGTTTACGCATAAGCTGGGTTTGTGACCCTTAACCCTCCACAATTAAAACCAGGAACACAAATGGTGACCATGCTGCTCAGTGTTTTATCGTTTTTCCTGTTCTGTTGTTGATTATTAAGAACTTGGTGCAACTCCAAACCTTTTATGTATCATCTTGATTGTAACCTTCCTCCTTCTTCTCGCTAGGAGTTGAACTCTAAAAGCCTGAACAAACAAACAGGAATTACCCTTTTTGTGATGGTCAGAAGGACAGTGTGGAACATATCTTTTTAGCCTCTCCCTTCCTTGGCTTTATGTCATCGTGGTCGGGGTCCATAAGTGGAAAGGGAAGGGTGGGGTGGGCGCTACCTCCCTCGGCTAGGTTAATGCTCCTGATCAACTTTGTTTCCTTCTTTTGTGTATGTATCTTAAGTTTAGACACGTTACAAGGATGCTATATGTGACATGTGGGCAAAGGTACATTAGAAAAACAGTATATCAGACAAAAACAGCTTGAGTAATTCTAACAAGCTTCAAAGTCAATATTTGGTAAGACCACCTTCATTCTGCAACACAGCCTGAGCTCTCTTAGGCAAGTTTCTTCTCATTTCTTTTTTTTTTATTTGCCTGTCCCGTTTGGTTCTTTTGCCATCAGAATTATGGATGAGGAAAAGAAAAGGGAGAAAGGGAGAGGGGGAAAAAACAGCGGAGAAGAGGGACAGGGATAAAGGGCAAAAAAACAAAAACCAACTACTGTAAATAAGCAGACAAAAAAATACATATATCAATCACCTGGATCACCTGTTGAGAAAGAAAAAAGAAAACAAGCAGAAGAAAAAGAGAGGAATACAATAAACAACATCACGATGATATATGGGAATATAACAGTAAATACTAAATATTAAACATTATTGTGCGGCACGTAATATCGACAGTGCACAGTGTGCTTTGAGGTAGGAGCCAAAAAGGGTGTAGTTTGTGTGTGTGAGCACCCGTGTGTACACCTGTGAGCATGGACGCGCTTGTTTTTAAAAGGTTCCTTCATGTAATGATCTGCTAGAGGGTGTGGGGGGGCCACAGCCCCGTCCTCCAGGGCATGAAGCAGGTATGGAGGAGATCAAAACTCCAGACATCCAGAGGCCCCCAGAACACAAGAGACCAAGGAAGCCCAACAGAGGGGCAGCTGCACCACTATCCCAGAAAGAGCTGAGGAGAGTCCCAGATGAGGGGTCGCTCAGCAGCCGCTGAGCAGAAGCCAGGGGGGGTTGCAGTGACGTGCCCCTGAGCTCCGCCGGCAGCCAGCTGTGCCAGAGTGACCGAGCCCCAGGCCGAGAGGCAGAGGGCACCCCACCCTCGAAGTCTTCTCATTTCTTTAAGCTGTCTTCAGGAATAGTTCTCCTTTCAAAGCTCTTGTCTTGATGTATTCTGAGTCAACCAG